AGACAGACAAAGATCTGAGTGTGGATGGAAAACATTACTGTGGGCTATGTTGTTTCACTTCAAATTAGTGCACCCTCTCTCTCTCTCTCTCTCTCTCTCTCTTCACTGCTTTTAATGGATGCAGAATTAAGGTTGTTTCAACTTTTTGCATCATATATACACAATTAAATATAATACACAATTAAATAGAAATTGAAAGGAAGGATGTGTCTGTGTGATATATGTGTCCATATAAGTGTGTGTATGCGTCTGTGTGATGGCAACGTCTGATAGCAGTATGAGCCTAGACACAGTAATGGTGTTTGTGTAATGGGCTGTGCCTAGATTGTCAGATCAGCACTGGATAATGCCTCCATGCTACACACATACATACACACACACACACACACACACACACACACATCTTTCTTATTGCTACTTCATCACACAAAGGTACAAAGGTACACACACACACACACACACACACACACACACACACACACACACACACACACACACACACACACACACACACGTATAGATGTGTGTGTGTGTGTAAGAGATCTGCTGATGTTTTCTGCATTTTGATTGCATGTCACATATTCTTTCAAGACTTGTTCTATTCCAGCACACTCTCTCTCTCTCTCTCTCTCTCTCTCTCTCTCTCTCTCTCTCTCTCTCTCTCACACACACACACACACACACACACACACACACACACACACACACATTGGTCTAATGGTGCTTATTGCAATGGATATAGTGTTGGCAATGTGACCTTGCAGGTCTTGAAGCTAGGAGGAAGTAATTACATTGATTAATTGTATGTGTTTGCTATTGATTAGTGCAGCAGCTTGCCTATTGTTTACTACACAGCTGGTTCCAACAGCATGACAGGGGGCAGTAATGTAAATTCTGAAGATAACGCTTGAGAGAAGTGAACCAGTGATCCATTTTAATTATTTTGTACTGTGCAAACAGGCCATGACAAGCTTCCAGAAAGGGGTTACATGCAGTGTGTGTGTGTGTGTGTGTGTGTGTGTGTGTGTGTGTGTGTAAATATGCAAACGTCAAGAAATACTGACTTTGGCCCTCAGGGTTTGAAGGAACCGCAAATGTCAAGGCAGGGGCACACACATACACACCATCTGTACATGCACATATCATCCTAACAACTGTGCCCATCTCTGGCATTTCTGCCAGGCAACATTGTGGCACCATTGCTGTTTCCTATGTACGGCAGCGTATCACTTCCACGCCATAGAAAGGAAAACAGATCAGTATCATAATTTATTGTGAAAGGTTTGTTGTTTCAACAAGATGTTTTTCATTCTCAACACTGTATTTTCACATTATTCCAACATACAAACTTATCATGGTATGTTTTGTTACAACAACATACTTTTGTGTTGTACTACTGCTATCATGTTATGATAACATGATAACTTATATTGTTATAACATGACATTACAATATAAATCACATTATAATATGAGCCTTTTACATTGCAGATAGATAAATTGCATATTTTTATAAGTTTTCACATTATAATGTGAGACGATTTATGTTAGACAAAAAGATAAATAAGTAGTAAATAATAAGATTAATAGTATTTTGTTATAACAAGCAAATATTCTTGTTATGTAGTGATACTTTTGTATGTCGTAATTATGTGAAATGTCTTGTTATGAAGTGAAAAACAACATCTATAAACTTTTCACAATATGTTGTGATACTATATTTAGATGGTTGAAGGTTTGGTATGGTTAAGGATTGGGAAAGAATACAGGCAAGACTTCTATCTTTGCCCAGAACTGCAGTCCACACACACACACACACACACACACGGACACACACCGACACGGACACACACACACACACACACAAGCAGTGTCAGCTTCTACCACCCCCTGCCAGCAGCTGTCACTCATCAGCGCTGGGTGCCAGAGAGGACCAAAGCCAGCCTGCTCTTACTCACCCCTTGTTTTATTTTCTCAAATCATCCAAGCAGTGAAGTAAAACATCTATTTACTGTGCCACAGTACCAGAGAGGGCTTCCCTGCATGCTGTGTTATACCTAATAAGCCTTAAGGAGATGGGGAGTCATCAAAATGAGTGCTCAGTCACAAGCTTACTCACTTGCTCACTCACTGTTTGGTGTCACGTGTGTTTTTTTCCTCTATGATCCTGCCACAGTAAGTAGGGCTCTGATTACACTGTATTAATACATCAGTTTGTGCTTATGTAATCATATAAAGCTCCTCTAAGTATGTGATGGTGATGATGCATTATGACTTGACTGCAACCATCACTGCAAACAAAACATGTATGTAATCATATACACACCCAATCACCTCTGCTGGCCGTACATGTGACCCATGTTTTAAACCACTGTGGATTACAACAGGAGTTATGCGTTCCTCTGCACCATCTTTGTAGAAGGAGCCCCGGTTATGGAGAGCAGTTTGAGCCTCTTAAAACATGAATAACTTAGTGGCAGAGAAGATGCAAATTTCTGACTTCCAAATAGGACAGCTTTATAGTAAAATCCCCTGCTGGGACTCACCCAGGACAGTTAGCAGTGGGTGGTCTCATGTAAAATTTACTATGGTGCAGCTACAATATTTCTGCTCATCTAGCGCCCCCCAGTGTAGAAACAGGGCATCACAACATGGACCCATCAATTTATATTATGCTACTAAAACGAAAATAGATCCCACCAGTCCCGATAAACACAGATGCTCAGTGCGGCTCAGTGAGCTCAGTATGTTAAACTAATAACCAATATTAAAAGTGAATACCTTTGTTGTGATTTTAATTACCATGTCTAAACTTCAATAATAATCCCAACTACATTGCAATATAATCTATACTAATCTTGTTAACTCAACAAGGGCTCAAACCCAGCAATATTACTCATCTGAAAGAGCTAAATGGAATTCAGACTTCACTAATTTCTTTATTTACACCTCTTTCTGTGACATACCAGAATGTCTTTTGTGAAAATTAACAATTAACTTCATCTGTATCTGTATAAACCACTGGCATGATGGGCATCTACTGACTAAATCAAATTAGTTAATTAGTTGCAATATTATGAAACTGTTCTAAACATTAAACCAGCTGCTCAGAATCTGGCAAACCAGACTATTATCACAATATGCACATCCTTTTATTAATTTTTTATACCATTACATAACCCAGCACCTTCATATATCAACAAATAATTTGATGTTCCAACTAGAACCCTCCCTTTTCAGTTTCAAAATGTTTCCTGCAAGAAATCTGGTGAGGCTGCTTTCTGTTTTGATGGCCCTGTGTAACACCCTCCTCCTGGATCTAAGAAATGCAAACTCCCTCTGCATTTCTACAAGACCTACTTTTGAAATTCTGGCTGTTAAATTTAGACTTTTGCTGCTTATATCATCCTTCCTGTTTAGTTCTATTGTTTAAAGTACATTTTTGTTGCTTTTTATCTTGTTTTCTGAAACACTTTGGGCTATATCAATGTAAATGCTTCATGCATCATAATACTGAAATTTATTTTATGATTAAGAAAAGCTTTAATATTTGTAAATAAATAAAGGACTGTATGTAGCCCATATAATCATATTTATATAATATGAAAATTGACCAGCTTTCCAGCACATGTTAGGCACATAAATATTACAATATATGACTGTATTATAGAAAAGCTACGAACATTATCGATATCTACTCGCTCAGTGGTTATGATGTTCTTGAAAACTGTTAAATGACTTGCAGCATCTCTCTACTCTCAGACATTAATATGATAAAACCTTCTTCAGGCTTCTGACAGACATTAACAATCACATCATGTGCTGGTTTCCACCTGTTCCAGCCGCCACTCTCAGGCTTATACAGAGGTCTGTGGATAAAACTAAATAACCTGGTGGTTTTGTCATCACCGACTGAATGTGTCTTGTTCAAACTAGTGTCTCATGATGGATTTTTCCACAGCGGTTTGGAGGACCACACACAACAGTAACTGTGCAGACACATGGGTCAATGTAATTTATCTGTAGCAGCACCTCTGCCTGTCCACACCGACACCAGAACAACCTCTCTACTATTTCAGTATGGGTGCTTTCTTTCTACAGCCAGTTTCACACTAAATCAGTTTTACAGCACTGTAACTTTGAGGTGTGGCTGTTCTGCAGTGGAAGAATGAGCACTGAGCAGCTTTGTGCTGTAGAAGTAAATAAAAAGAAGACTGATCTACGGCTGGTGATCGCCTCGAAACCAAAGAGCTGCATCATTTTATGCTTATTTACCTCGAGCTTATAATGTTACATCCTTCTTTTCAAAAGTTATTTACTGTGATGTGTGCTATGTCATAAAAACGTACAGTCTAGTCGATACACAGATATTCCTAGGCCCTCTGTCTGCTGCCTCCACGCTGACACTAGTCTGTGAGGCTAATGTCAATTGAGCTTGTGTAATTGGTTTGTGAAGGAAATGAGCACTGCTTCATGGATGTTAGACAGTGATCCATTAGAGTGCTGGACATCAGGGACCGTGGACTTTAGATGACCTTAAACCAGAGATTGTGAGAGAGAGACACACATCTGTACATACATGTCAGTATAAACGGCAGTCCTATTGTTGGTTCAGCTAGAGGCCACTCACCTATGTATGTTTTCTAAGGGAGAAAAACAACAAAAAGAAGAGTAAACAACACAGATTAAAATGTGAGCTCACAATAAGGGACCAAGAAAAAGCACAAGGATTGCAGATAATGCTGACATTACTTGAGACTGGAATGGACTGGAGATTATCAATGGGTGGAGACAAGATGGGAGTTACTGTACTGCAAAGAAGAAAGATAAGAGTTCTGAGGAAAGTAGTATTATTTGATTGTTAAACACACACACACACACACACACACACACACACACACACACACACACACACAGACCTAGCTTGGTAGTAAGGGGGTCATATGAAGCCTGACTGAAAAGGCACAAACATATAGAAAACATATATATTACTGCACCAAGTACAATTTGGACACAACCTTTAATCTCTGAGTATATGACAGTGAAAGGAACGCATTTACTGCTGCTGCAAATAGGAGAGACAGCTGCAAAGTCTTTACCAATCAAGCTTTTATATAAAAGCAGGAGACTTAGCACAAACACCACATTTACCGCCCACAGCCACAAAACTCAATAGAAATGGACACTGCTAATAAAAACAGTTTTATGAGGACGAAAGACTAAACAAAACCAACTGACCAACAGTACAGTACTACCAAATTCTGCATAGAAGTAGCTTAATAACTCCCTGATATTCATCAGTTCAAAGAAAAGCAAAACAGAGGTATTGTAAATTAAGACAAAGCACATTATTTACTCTCCTGTTCTAAATATAAACATGGGCTAAAACAAACACCAGTTTTTTAATAATTAGGCTGTGAAGAGTCCTGCTGGGTAAATATGCAGATTTCAGCCTCACCATCAGATAATGTGTTTGGATTATTTAGCAGGTTAATCCTCATTTGATTCATATGTTCTTTTTTTTGTAACTGCCACAATGTCTTTGTGTTGTCATCTAATTACTTTTGCAACAATGTTTACTGCCCATTCATGCAAATAAAGCATGAATGGACATTATGGAGAGATTAGAGAGAGAGGGGGAGAGACAGACTGAATACAATTGTAGAGACACAACATTTTCTTTGTTTTCTTTATTTGGACGAGCCTGATTTATGGAAGGGGGAAAAAAAATCAAGATTGTCAAATGCTAGAGTTTACTGGAAAAAATTAAATCTTGAAAACTGAATTGATTATTTCTATACAGAGAGAGAAATGTGGCATTAATGCATCCAGTATGTTACCCAGAGGAACTCCCTTCAAAAGAAACAAATTTTTTATCAACACACACATATCACTTCCACTTTTTATAATGACCTCTGAGAGGTAAATCTACATGAGTACACAAGTACTTCCACTGGAATGTCTATATTGTATTGTGCTACATTTGTATATCCGTTTCACCATGTTGTCACTGTAAGAGTTAGATCAGAGGCTGAAAATAACTTTGCTCTGTAAATAGGCACAAATAATCTTATTACCCCTATTCACATATGGAGGACTCCCCAAAAGCAAACCATAGCCCCTATGGTTAGAAATGGGAATTAAGATTCCCATGAAGGCACACACTGCTGTAGCTTGTGTTTCTCCCATCTTGGATCTCATTCTGCCCGGAGTAACAGTCACACACAAAGTTAGGTTTTTCCAAAAGTTTGAACTAGTTTCTGTTTCCCCGTCCGTCCATTATTTTCATTTTACCCCAGAGAGAGAAAGAGATGGTTCAGAGGAGGATCGTGAGGAGGATATAAGCTAAAATCACCTCACATAATTTCTACTCTTCTGAGGGCTTTGCAGAGACAATGCAAGTTGTTGAGATGGCTCAAGACTTTTTGAAACAGATTTAAAAACTTTAAAATCGCCCACTATTCCCAGTGCACGCCTTCATTTTACGTGTTCCCCTTTCCATTTTTAGCTAACAAATTGTTCAGATTGAGAGTGGGCAGCGGGTTGCAGGACTGTGCATACACAAATGAATGAACAAGGAAAACCACACTCGATTGCAGTTAAGAGTACAAGCTCTGCTGTTACAGTGAGAACTGAGAGTCGTATGTCTTCATTTTCCACAAGTCAGTTAAAATCACAAGCCCAAGCTTTCCATTTGTCCAGTTGATTTTATAGCAGTTTGACTGTTTCAGTGGGGCTGTAGTATGTCTGACCTCAGAAGTACTGCAGAATCAGCTGGTCAGGGAAGGCAGATGATATGGAAAGCCGATCCTAGGTTAGCACTGATAAAACACCCGGTCCAGTTGGGGACCAATTTAAGCTTCAACACATCCTGTCTTCTCATGCAAAACTAAGGCTGATTCCAGTTCTGCCATTTAGTGCTGAGTGATCAATCCTCTGTGTTCTCTCGGAGCAGCAGTGCCAGGATTCACAGTGTTTTTGTGGATCATCTGAGGAAGACCGAGTGCACTTTGAGAAGTTCTCCTGGTTAAAAAAAAAAAAAAGCTCACAGACTATCCGTGCGGGCATGGCAGCTGTCACACACTCTGACCGGGTGGTCCCAGCCTCGGGAGGGCACGGGCCTGATGTGGGTGGAGCAGGGGCCGCACACACCCTGTCCACAGGCCCTGCAGTGGTGCTTGGACATTGCCGGAGTGAAGGTTTTGGAGCACTGGTGGCACTGGGTGATGTCCTGGTCTGGCACCCAGTAGTCTGGCCGAGCCACATCTTTCACAAAACCTAAGGGGATTGGATGGAACAATAAATATTTATTTCAAGATTTTTGGCAGTGATTGCATATGTTTTTATTGGATCGTAAAAATCCATATCTGAACAGAACATTCTGTGAAACTGCATAATATTATATGCACTGGGGTGGGTGTGAATCACTTTACAGGAGCCCAAGCTTCATTAATGTTTATGGTGTGAATCTCCAAACAGACATTAAATATCTCAGATGGATGGATAGCTTCGAGATAATTAGATGCTTATTTATGCCACGCATTCCTTGCAGGAGAGCCATCAAGTCAAAGAGGCCTAGTTGTTCAACACATCCACCTCATTTGCCAGAATTTAAAATGAACTATTGTTGTCAGAACAAATTTGGGGTTTGCTGCAACATGATTTCCATTTATTTCTTCCCTCAAAATCGTTGTAATTCCTTTATGTTCATCTAACAGACAAACAAATAAAACATTTGTTTTTAATTTGAAAATGACAATTTTAGCTGATGATTGCATTGGTGATACAACAGGTCAAATCACATTATTTTTGTACTGTAAAACTGGTAATTACAATCATGTTCAACAAAAATCTGATTGGTCAAAAGCCATCTGACCTAGAGATAATGTGCAACCAGCTGCAGGGTACTGACAGAATGTGTAATGGTGAAATGCAGCTGCACTCACAGAGAGGGTAGTCCACAGCCGTGGTGACCATGTCCAGTGTAGACTGGGCCACCTCCGTCACCCTGCGAGCTATCAGACCACGAGGCTCCACCTTACACACTAAAGAAAAGAGGTGTGTAAATGTGTGAGAGACAAAGACATACGTGCATAGTACACAGTAAATTTAATTGAAATTAAACACATTTTACAAAAAAGAAAATGAAATAAAGTTGGAAATCTAGGTGTAAGTTAAGTAATGACTAATCAGAAGGATAAGATGCGAAAAAATGTAATGATTACGGGCAGAACGGCCGTAGTTTGAATCCATATAATGTAAAAAGATCTGCCAATAATTTTTGCTTGATTAAAATGATATTTATGTGATTTCACATATGCTGCCCGGTTGAAGTTCACTAACTGGCTGGAAGAGTCTCACCCTGGCTGTTAGTGTCAGCTGGCCCTCCTTGTCGGTAGCAGGCCTTGCACACCCTGACAGGGCCACTGCCCCAGCCTCTCTCTGGCACCGGCATCCTGTGGCTGGAGCAGGGATGGCAGAACCCCTCGCCACATGATCGGCAGTGGTGCTTCCTCTCCGCCTCCACGAACACCTTCTGACAGCCGTGACAGGCCTTTAGAGAAGAGGAAGATTCAATAATGGAAGGAGAGACATGATAACATTATTATTGCAGGCACTGAGTAAGTGATTTGTTCAACAATTTCTGTGTGTTAAGCTGTTCTCATTTTAAAAAGGAGATATTTCCATGTGTGTATTACAACTTTAATACTTGGAATCTGAAATTCTGTGCAGTGTTTGTTTGTCTCGGCTTTAGCTCGTCATACTCACAGTGATCTCTGTATTGGGTCTCCAGTATGGGGGCGCCACCTGGTCAGTGAGCCAGGCAGTGACAGCTTTGGTGGGGCCGGTGCTGTACTCCGACACTGACTGAATCATGTAGTTCATCCCATCAAGGACCCTCTGGGCGGCGTTCTGGTGGGTGGTCAGAAAGGTGTCCGACTGACAGAAGGAAGAGGGACGAAAAAATGCAATTGAAGCCGAGGTGCACACGGTTTTATAGTTGCTGAGTGAGGCAGAGAAGGATGTGAGATAGATGGAGAAAATAGGAATTAATCAATTAATACCTATAGAAGCAGATAGTTCAAATGTAGCACCTGCAAGTTCTCAGTCTCTCTCATCTAACTGCACACTAAACTTCATGTAAGATGTTGTCATTTTAGTGTCGTTTTAATGTCAGAGAAGCATTTAATGACGAATTAATCTTTATGCAAGCTTATGATGCATAAACTCATCAATCAGATCCCTTAATGATTTCAGTATTCAACGTTTGTACTGAAACTAGAAACTGGAGAAAGAGAAGAAGGATGGAGTACTCACCCCCTCCCAGACATGCTTAACCTCAGATCGTACCACACCGCTCTCAGGGTCCTGGTTTCCCACCCAGTACTGTCTGCTGCGGTAGATAACACCACAGCTAGCACACTCCAACACATAGCTGAGAGGGAGGTGTGGAGACAACGTGAGATGGCAGGATGAAAAGCAATGAAAAGATGTATATTTATTTTGTGTGTGTGTTTTTACGTACCCTGACCAGGCATACTTGGCCAGTCCAAACCATGGGTTGTCACTGGAAGCTGACGTCTTGGGAATGACAATCACCTCTCTGCCGCCTTCATAGCACCGCTGTAGACATAAAACAATTGCATCGATTATATATTGTATATATATTAAAGAATAATTAGAAAAGGGGCAATGGAAAGAGAGAGAGGAAACGGAGAGTTCTCATCTGACCTAAACTAGCAAACGAAACTGGCGTCAGGAGGCAGTCTTACCTTACAGATAAGAACCTTGTTATTGTACTGGTGTGCATACTGGCACAGCCCATCTGCCATATGGGGGACCCTGTCTCTTAGGTGGTTCATTCCATTTTTACAGCGAATGCTGAAGAAGAGACAAAATGAGATGTTTCAGATTAGGGCAGGTTCTGTAAAAGTCTGAACAATGTGTACAGTCCATTAATCCTGGACTGGATCCTTTCAGAACCAGTGTTATGATTTCTCCTACTCACACTTCTCTCAGCTTTCCATAAAACAGAAACACAAAAGATAAGGGGACTCCCATTTTGCCTTTCAAAAAATATGGAAAACACATCAGGTTTTATGTGTCCCACTGGAGAGACAGTTAACATCCATAAGAACAACAACAGATCTGTTTTAAGAGGATAAATTCCAACTCTGTGATTCAGCCAGAAACGACTGAAAGAGTTCTGTTTGTGTGTCTGTTTATGTTTCCATCTGGAAATAAAAGCCTTTAACTGCTGTATGAAGAGCCTGAAGAAGAGGAACGTTCCCTAAAGTAAGTATTTGTAGTAAAAAGAGTTACATTTAGACAAACCTTTAGAAATCTGCACCAGAGATGAACAATACTCTGCTTTGAAAAATGATTTTGGTCGTCCATGAAAACGTTTCAATAGCTTGTTACACTACTATATCTACTAAATCTCCACAGTCCAACTCCAAACATTAAAATGATGTTTAGCTAAAAAAAAACTGTATCTACAATTTCCTGAAAGGATGCAAAGGATCAATGCACAGCTCTCTGAACCTGCTAATGCTAAGGTCTGACCATGAGGAGCAGATTTCATCCATAACAGAGGGGGAGCAAGATTAGATGCCATTGATGCCAGAGTGGGAAATGCTTTTAGCTCAAATGGCCATCTGACCTGTCTCCAAGTGTTCAAGGCTAAATGAAAGACACTTTTCTGTGTGAAACGGAGTAATGGACAGTAGATTGGTGTGACAGCTGGGGAGTACGAGAGCAAGTGATCTCTCAAAGGCATTAAGCATAGAAGAACTCAAGATTTACAGCGCTAGAGGTTTGATACAGCCATCCCCGATATTCTTATTAATAATAAAGTTTGACATATTCTATGGATCATTCCAAAGAATACTAGGTTTTTTCATCTTTAGAAAATATAAAAAAGGTGTTTGGGGAACAATATAACTGATGAGAGGTTTAAAGCAAGCACAGAGAAGTAAAGTGTTTCATCTCTGACTGAATTTATTTGTTTGTGAGTTTCAGTCGTAATCTTCCTGGATTTTGATCTTGGTAAAAATTTCAGGCACAATTATACCTCCAGAATGGAGGAAAGTTGAAAAAGGAATCTTCTCAAAAGTGTTTGTAATGACTTACTTGCAGCTGAGGCAGACAGCGGAGCAGGTGAAGTACTCGTCTGGGAAGAAGGAATACAGGGCCATCTTGTCATCCAACAGTTCCCCACAGAAACGCTCACTTAGGGCCTAAGGAAACATAAGAAGGATGGGAGAGAAGAAAAGGGGACAGAACAAAGAGCAAAACTTTTTCATGTTAAATGTCTCTAAGATTTCACTTGGTTTCCATTTAACACAGAAGGTCCACAGCTTACCTCCAGGGCGTGAAACACTATCCCGGGCTGGCGGGGCGAACGTGTATGAGTGTTCTTCACTTGCTGCCTGACGGCCTCCAGCAGCTTGCTGTAGTCAGTGGGAGGAGTGATGGTCTGGGTGCCTACATACTGTACCGAGCTGAAGGCCTCTGTCCCCAAGCCTAGGTCGTGAAACCGTTTCTGGAGCAGCGTGTCAGCATGGCCGGCTACCTTAGAATCTACAAGGGAAAGAAAAAGGCAAATAAATTGGTAGTTGGACAGCAGGAACCACAGAACAAGAGTTCAAAAAACAGAAAAATACATCCTGTAAAAAAAGGCAAAGAATTGCTGAGGTGTGTTTTTGTGATCACATACAGTATATGCATAAAATGTAGTATATTTCCTTCCCCTACCGTGACCAAGTAACTGGGTGTGTGTTGTCTCCTGGAAGATGATAACAGCAGGCCCGAGAGAAGAGAGGGGCACGTCCAGACCACAACGGCTGGAAAGAGCTCTGAGCTCCGGGGTGAAGTGCTTCAGGTAGGCCCCTGAGGCGCTGCTCAGGAACAGGAACATGTCGTTGTGCAGGCGCTCTGCCCGTGTACGATAGACTACTATATCAGACACTGCCAATACCTATGAGAGAAGGGAGTAGATATATATATATATATTATATATATATAGAGAGCTAAAACAGAAGCAGCATCTATGACCTACATCCAAGAAAACAAGACGCATGGAAAAATGGAATATAGATGTCAGCGTGAAAGGATTAGCTGACAAATTAGCGAGTGTAAGGAGAGGTACAGAGAAAGTCCACATTTAAGATATTCTGAACACACAACAGCACTCTAAGGTACTCAGAAAAACGTCTTTCCTTTCACGCAAATGTCCCGAATTCTACTGTCAACTGTACCAAACTGAGGTTCTTGTTTCTTTGAATGATAATAATGAATATAGTTTAATAACTTTGTTTCAGTAACATGCATCACTTCAGTGACTCACTCTGGTCTGACCATACAGTGATATCGTATTTTTGAAGCAAAAAAGGTAAAAAGAAATCCAAAAAGGGAGGCAGAAGAATGAACTACTTTATTATTCACACGCTCAAACGAACTATTTACATGTAAGCTATAGGAACACACTAAGACAGCAAGAGTATGAGGGAAGGTCAAATAACTATTTACATATTTACAGGCTATAAAAACATCCAAATCCAGAGATCTGGTGAGAGAGAAAGAGAAAGAAGGTCAAGCATGCCGCACATGCCCACACCTCCTGACTGCCTGCGCACGGCACAAGAGGAGAAGGAGAGACCTCAGTGCGGTTGGAAGAAGACTGCGTTTACTGTGAGCTGCAGGCGTGGGACTGAATTATAATATATTTGAATATATTTCTCGCCTTCACCCTGAATAAGCTGCTAAATTTGTAACTAGTCACTTTTTATAATAAAGTTGCTATATCTAGCAAGAAAGTCACCAAGTTGGCAACATTGATCTAAGACTGATTATGTGTGTAAGCTTATGTATGACGTAGCATAGAGCTTCAGCTGGTGCCGCCTCACATTTTTCAAATTTGAACAACTAACAAGCGGAAGAATTTAATTTGTAATTCATTATTCTACTTTTCCATTCACTATGTGTTTGTGGCTCAGGTGCTACTTTAAATGTCACAGGACAACAGGACATTCTTACTTTTGAGCACTGCAGAAATATTGTTAATTGTGTGTGGAAGCTATATAAAAGAATACACAAAACTGGTAAGTTTCAAAATTCACAACACATTTCACTACTTTACCAGCTGACTAAATGTACAGGGACACATGTGTGTCCGTACCCTTCTCACAGCTGTGTGCTGATATAATTACATAGCTCTGAAGCAACACTGAGCTGGACATGGGACTCTTGAGATGCTATAATAAAATTTAGGATCTATTAAGAAACCTATGAGGCAAAAAAACTAAACAAAAAACACTAGCCATGGTCAAAATGTGAATTCGAAAATTTGAACTGTACCTTGTGCAAACTATTTTGTGTGAACGCATCCAGCTATCAGTTAATTCCAACAAAACCAACAAGCGACCACTAAAATTACCTTTAGCAGCAGCCGCATCCTCTGGTTCTGATTGGCTGCAGCCCCCAACAGGCCCTCAGTATCCAGGGCGACCAGGCTGAGGGTGGGGTCGTACGCGGCCCACACTCCCACCGTACAGGAGCTGGGGGACTTGGATGTGTAGAACACACTCTTACCACCGAACAGGATGTGGTTGAGGGTGTGGGACTTGCCATCACCAGTGTTGCCAAAGATGGAAAGGACCTTGACTCCCGCCACGTCCCCACAGCCGAGTCTGTCCACAAACTCAGACTCATCGCGGACCTGGAAGCAGATTACAGAGGATGGATTGCTGGCCTGTCTTAATTTGATATCATTAACTCCCCTGCTGACTTCATTGAATCAAGGAGAAATCTTATTGAATTTGTGTGAACAATTTAGTTCTGGATGACAAGGAGCCTCAACACAAACTAAAGAACTGGGTTATCTGTGGTCTTTTATCTGAGACTATTAACAATCAGTCCAGGAAAAAACATCTTTGAAATAAAGTCTGTATTAATTAACAACGTGCTGCTGAGCCTTCAACTCTCCTAGGACAAAATTAGTTGTGCATACATCCCAGACAAATCGGAAAATACCGATTACCGGCTGCACTTTGTACTGCAGTAGGAGCACAGTGAGAGGGTGCCTCCCTGTGGGTCAGCTGGGCTCTATGACTCACCAGGGACTTTCCCAATAAGAAACACATCTGATGCTCTGCCGACCACGGTTATAGTAAAGTATTTTATTATTTTATTTCTTTGAGGTGTCAACATGAGCTCTTGATAGCGAAAACATATCTACAGGCTAAACATGACGGATGTCCCGGGTAAAAGCTGTTTATTGTTACATTCACAAACCGTGACAGAAGGAGATGAATTCCTCGAGTTAGAAAGAATAACACAGCATGGTGTTTAGTTAGCTAACAGGGCTGATGTGTCAGCACAGTGACAACAGATAGTTAGTGGCCTCCATTAAAATGTGTTGTCCTGCTCTTCTTAGCTTAGCAGCTACATGCTAGCAGCCGTTAGCTAACTTTACCTGAAGGTTTTCCTGCTCATCCACCAACAGGAAGCTCGAGACACCGTCCGGACGCTCCTCCGCCTTCAACGGACTGACCGATACACTCTCCATTTCTTTCATCAATATGTCGGACATCGTGGTTTAATTACTTAAAACATTTTTGTGACGGCGAAAAGCAAAACGAAAGTTCAACATGACTTCTGTTTGTCCGTCAATCACAACATCAGCGCGTGTACGACTGACGCTGCGGGAGGAGCCAGGGAGCACGCAGCCAGTGACGTAAGACGCATTGTTATTGGTAGTTACGTTTGGTCAGCGTCATGTCTGGTACGTCAGCACCACCCTGTGGCCAAAGTGTAGGATGACACCGGACCTGCCACTTCACAAACTTGCGATTCGCGAGGATAAGAAAGCATAAAATGAGATGATGATGAACTTACAGACCCATAAATTCTGTGTGTATTCTGTAGTTGATTTTTAAAGCTTAGACCAATCATGCAAACGAAACAAAAGTCCATATATTTGTTCTACTGAGTAAAGCTGGAAAACCCCCCAACATAAACAGTATACAGTATATATTTTTTTTACTCCAACTAATTCATAATAACGGTAACATACAATGATTCAAAGTTTCCATTTAACTGGCAGAGTGTTTTATTGGAGCGGTGCTGCCATGTTAGAGCTGCTTGCTAATGTTCATTAAATATTTGTTAGCACAGATCTATAAATATCACATGTCACTGAATGGCTTCAGAGCGGCGCCACTGCTGCTAACATGACAAGGAGAAAGAAATTCCAGCATTGCTTCACTAACAGTCTTAGCTGAGCTCCATCCTTCCTTCCTTCCTTCCTCCCTTCCTTCTTTCCTTCCTTCCTTCCTTCCTTCTTTCCCAAATTATTAAATTAATATTGGGGGAAGTTCATAATAGTTAAAATAAGTCTTGGTCTAGTGTAACACATTCAAAATAATGACACAAGACACAGGAAGTATGCAAGCAGGAAGAGAAAGCAGATGGGAGGGAATTAAAGAAGGAATTAAGGAAGGAAGGAGGAAAGGAAGAAAGGGTGGAGGAGTGAGGAGATTGGAGAGGGTCCCAGCCTTTTTCTGAGCTCAACCATGAGAGACAAATGTCTGAAAGAATCAATTATAGGCCTACTCCCAACCCATCGCCCCTGATTAATGAATAATTAAAGCTGCTCAGTGCAGGGCTACCTAGCATAGATAATATAAGATTAACCATGGGCCTATCAACATGCCACCATGATGTGAGGTTATGTAGACACAGCGTCTCTTAATTTGCCCTAAATAGATGTCACAGAGGGGTAATAGCCTGTAATCCATTATAAAATGTTATTCAACTACTCTTTAGTAGAATAAAGTTGACCACCTGTATATGTTGTCTGAATGTTGTAGTGAAAATTAAATCATGCTTTTATGAAAATGTAATTGTTTTTTGATCTTCTACACTAGTTCTGTATAATAAGCAATAAACTGGTAAGGTGATAGATACCTGGTCTATATGCCTCACTAAATGTTACACCCATACCCCCTTGCTGTCCCTATGCAAAGAATAAAATAATTATGAGTGATTTCTTGATATTATTTTCTCTTTGAATCCCATTCACCGCCAGCCTTCAGTATGAAATGTATCCATCAAGTTGCCACTTCCATGATGTGATGCAATTTCGGGACCAGCCAGTGCAGACTCCAGCCCATCCTCATCATGCAGAGAAGACAACAATGCATGAGAGGAACTGGCACACTCAGACTGACAGACAGTCCTGCAACCCAACCTTCACATAACTGGAGACGGTTTTTAAAAAAATATATAAATTCGGAACTGGGGGATGGCTTTGCCCTTACAAGTCCGAGGCGGGACCGTGGTCCACTGAAACCGCTCTCCCCGCTGGTACTTGTAGTGCGCTCCTCCTCGGCATGTCTCATGTTGACATGCATAAAAAACTACACTTCCCCAAAGCTGTCACAGAGCGCTCCCGCCTCCCATTGGCTGCTCGCTCCAGCCGCAGCCCCAGAGAATGAATGAAATTGAAATAGCTGCTACATTACATGTACAATACCGGGCTCTGCAGTGTTGCATTCTATCATACTATATCAAAATGGCCACAGCGGTACAGAACCCCCTCAAATCGTAAGTACAACACATTTCCTGAGCGTTTGCGCTTTTCTTGTATTTGTGCATGCTGTCAGTGCAATTTAAGAGCCTCATAAATTCCCTGATATTTCTCAGCATGATTACCAATACATCTATACATGCAATGCATACAGCACCGATACAGATAATGTCAGCGGAGGCGAATAAGCCCTAAAGAAAAGTTATATTTGAAGCTGGCGGGAGGTTCTGTGTTTCTTTGGCGTGAGGGGGATTATTATTGTGCGCTCCGATGCAATTCATAGAATCATTTCCCTGAGCCAACAGCAGCGTGTGTGCAGGGATATGGAGGAATGCTGGAGGTAGATTTGGGTGACCCGGTATGTCCCTTGTCAGTGTAGCCAGCCAAGATCACGGTCAAAGCCAGGCTGGAGTAGCAGGCTGGCCCGGAGGCAGGGGGCTTAGATGGCTTTACAGTACCTGTGTGCACATTTTTTGGACAGAGAGGGGGTAAACAGGTAGGCAGGATGAAGCTCCCTGCTCGGCTTTTAGGCTGCAGCGTTACCTTTACCGCCGGACCTGTCGGAAATATACAGTCTGAGGTAAATACGCTGGTGTACACGGCTTCAACTCCGAGACTTGCTTTCATCTTCAGCGCCTATAATACAATCTGTACCGTTTAACACTTAACGTGCATCTGAACGGGCATTTGTTTCCACCAATGGGTCTTTAAACGGGTGGAATTCCCGTGAAGTTTCTCCTGTAATGATCCCCTTTGTGCTGGCTTTTTTGGGGGTCTTTTTGTGTTTTTCTCAGACTGGTTTCAGCGGAATGCAGACGCCTGCTGCCCGCCTGGGCTCCCGGCCAAAAAGGTGGCTGATGTGCGTCTGTCAGCGGGTACTTACAGAGATTCCCCCCCCCACAATAGCTCCAATATAAACGTACAACCGAGGAGTGTTTGAGCACACAAAAGACCCAGCTTGGGCAGTTTGAAACAAAGAAAAGTCACGCAAAAACAGGGGCGCACATCGGATGCTGCACAGGTTTCACCTGAGCAGGGATATGGGATACAGCCTGCCTGTCTGTCTGTCTGTCTGTCTGTCAGCCTCTCTGAGATGCAGACACAGGCGACATTTCATGCAATTCCATGAACGACTGCCCTGTACGTGCCTGCTTTGAAGAGCCCTTCACTGGAATGGTACTGATTGGGCAACTGTGTGCTGCCCTGATTGACTGTGATGCTATTTTAGTGTGTTGGCCAAATGCGGTTTACTCATACCACAGCACACACCTTAATAATAGGAAAAGAAAGATGAATTATTGCAAGGTTTAATTCCGTTCTAATGAGCTGGTGTCCTGTAATGTTATGTGAGGATGACACAGGAGGACAGGTGGACTGGATGGAGGCTGTAATGTGGGACCTTTTGTGTTCAGAGCCTCCTCTCCTTTCCTTTCCTCCTCTTCCTCCTCTCCTCTATGGCATGCTCGTCCAAGCAGAGCCAAAGTGTGGCCAGATTGCTCCCAGAGGCCCTGGCTGACACCATGTCAAGGGGATTAAATCGACTGATTTGCATGGAATATATATACTGATGTGGTACCAGGACGGGGGGGACGAGGTTGTGGTAGCAGGAGGAGAATAGAATAGGGAAAACATAAAGGGAGCAGGAAGTAAATGGTTAAAAAAGAGGCTCAGGGCAAGCAACTAATGAACTAGCGCCCACTTTCCAATGCTGGTCTTACATTGATTTTAAGATACTTAAAGTTGGATGAAATCAGAAAAAGAAGACATAGAACAAAGCGGCAAAGTTGTCAGCCAGATTGAGACCTGCAGGGATGCTGGCACGCTGTCTCCACTTCAGCATCTGACTCTATGTGCAATAATGAAGCTGAATGTATTTATTACACAAGGCCACAGCAATCAACGCTGCCTTTAACATCTCACCAACTGTATAAATGCCATCGTTACGCAGTATGAGTTTAACTACGTTCCAGTTACCACACTGCGATCAGCTTTTAAACAAGCCCTGGTAATTAGCATGTCTACAAACAAACTTGCTATTAGAGGCTTACAAATTAGAGGCCTATCCAGTAAAATGGGCCAAACAACTAGCGAAATTTGGTTCAGTGTTGGGCCTAATAGGGTGGTTGGCTGTGTGCCGGAGACAATGCCTGTTGTGTCCCTAAATGTCCTTAAAGTTAGTTGAATCTCAGCAGGAAATTATAATGAATTGAGTGGATGTAAATTCTGTGGGAAGAATTTACAATCGTTGCCCATCACCCAGCCGAGACTTGCTGTGTACAATGTAGTGCGATAGCCAGATGATGTGTGTGTGTGCGTGGAAGTACAGTGGAGGGTTCATTCGTGTGCAAAGGCAAATCAGTGGAGGAGAGCAGCTAGCTCCAATCTACTGGGCATTTCCCCACCAGCCCTCTCTTCGTTTATCTCTCGGCTGGATTAGAGACTAGTTTAATCTCTCCTTCTCCTCTCCTCCATCCCTCTCCCTCGTATTTCCTTCCTGCCTGTCCTCCTATCACCCCTGCTGCCCCGTCTCCTTCATCACTTTCTCCATCCATCACTCTTCCTCGCCATCTCCCTTTTGTTCAGCCATTTCCTCTCTTTCTCGCTCACCCTCTCTATGCCATTTTCCTTCTTTTTTTTTTTTTTTCGGCCTCAGACCATCTGAGCCCTCCAAGTCGCCTGCCCTCAACCCCCCACCCCCCACCCCTCTCCTCCCTCCGCCATGATAGTTCTTTGCATTGTGAGTCAAGGCATGTCACCACTTTAATATTCAGCAAAAAGTACTGAAGGAAATTCTCAATGCATTTTGTCAGATCCCCCTTAAATCTTGTTGGATAGCTTATTCCTAAGAGTTCCTTTAGAGGGATTTACTGTAGATTTGGACTATCTACTGGCAGAATAGTCCACTGTTCATACCAAATGATTCTATCTTTCCATTTGTTACCATGTTGGTTATAAAGAAGACATGAAGATCTTGGTGGAATGGTTGCATTGCACGTAAATGATTAAACATTTTAGCAACAAGTGCAATTCAGTTCAATTAAAAGTAGGAATTTAACTAATTTTAAAGGTGCAGGTGTCTGAATCTCTCAAAATGGCAGTTGATGTGGCATATATATTTCAGCAATATTACTTCCTTGTGCTGGTTGGCGGGGGAGATGTAGATAATAGTGTGCTCTGGTATTGGCAGCAGTTGTGGAAGGGCCTATATAATATTATTTCTGCCCTGCTTGACTGAGCCGAGCTAAATGAGTTCCATGTAATAACCGGCTCTGTGTGCAAACAGCCCCACGTGATGGTTGAAACCACAGCCTGAGCATCCATTTCTAGATCTTTCTTCCTCTTTCAATCTTTCCCTTTCATTCCCTCACTCGCTCATTTGTGCGGTATCACCCGTGTAGATAGGGACACACAAACACATGCACGTGCACACACTGGGAAACACACGGAGTGACACTCTCTCATTCCCTTTCTTGCTCTCAGTTTTTTTCCCATTCGTATGGGAGTAAGCCTGGGGTCTGATGTTTTTAAGGGTATTTCTTTTTTAGAGTTATTCTTTTCATCATCCCCTTATTTAGACTTTCTATCTGTTTTACTTTATCTTTTTTTCCCGGAGAAGACAGGATAGAGAGAGACCGAGAGAAAGAGAGAGACATAGATAAGTATTTTTAGCTCTATGACCTATTTCTCCAGTGCTACCTAACTGACTGTCAGTCAGCTCCACTGCTTTGGGACCTTACGTGACTTCCAGCCAGGAAATATGGAATTTGTAGTCTTGTTTTGTTGCAACTTGTAGTCCAAATGCAAAAGGTGTGGTGGGCGATGGAGGGAATTAATAAACCCAAATCCCTTCTCTCCTCTCCACAGAATTATTTCTTTTCTCTTGTCACTCTCCATTTATATTATTCCCAGTGTCTGTGCGTGTCCAGTGGATCCCTATCAGGAGTTGTCGAAGGTGGAGTCAACGCAAACCAATAGCTGCTTTCCTCTGCAGCACTTTAATAAGGATGCAGACTGGGGGGGGCTAAGAAAACACACACACACGCACACACACATGCACTCACACGTGCACGGCCAGATACAGAGGTAGGGAATCCATCGCCATAATAAGAGGCCAAGTGCAGTGGTGATAAATCTCACCTGAAGGAGCTGTTCAGAGGCAGATTGCCTTACCCTGATGTACTGCCCTCAATACACACTGCAGCTAGCTACGGGCTATATACACCCACACACATAGACCTGAAATGCATGCACACGCAAATACAAATAGTCAGCATGCATAAATAGATATGCACTGATGTGAGTGTGCATGCATATGTAGACGAAAACATGCTAACCCACAAACAAGAGACGAGTGCACATACATGCACAGAGAGGCCCATGATTCACAGTTTTATAGTGACTCCAAGATAACCACACCCAGTGGACAACGAGGGAGAAACACTGAAATAAAACTCAACTCTTCATTAAAATCACACGTAGCAGCTAACACAAAGTTCTGACAGAAATGACATGATCTGTTGCATGGCTCTGTCTACCTTCCCCACTCTGCCTCACTGTCAGAGCTCTCCTCACGTTCAAATATGCAAACAGTCAGTTGCATATACACACACGCACATACACACACATACGGAGATGCAGTGCTGTGACAGCAATTCGAGGAAACTGACGTTTTCCAGCTGGTAGTGTGGCAGACGTCCGCTCCTGCACATTCACTGCCACACACACACACACACACTCCTGTCTGTCCATCTGTCTGTCTGTCACTGTCAAACCGAGTGTGCGGCCTCTTTGTCTTTGTGACTGACATGCACTCTGTCACAACACACACCCACACACACACACACACACACACAAACACAAAGGTATGTCTCTACCTGTTTTTCTTAACTCACACAAGAACTGGATAGCATTAGTGTGTGTGTCTTGAGGTTTCCCCCGTATATTTTAGAACTGTATTTTCTATAAGCCTATTTATAGTTAGTCTGCATACTACATATTAGTATATACATATATATAT